CGTCAATTCCAGAAGAGTTCCTCTCTTTATTCAAGAACCAGACCCACCTCTTAACATTGATCTACAACTATACATCCATGATACCAGATCTGGAGCTCCTCATACGAGGAATCTATTCAATGAAGTCACTCAACCAGACGCAAACTGAACAAAACACAAAGTTAACACAGAATTGTACAATTGTACAAAACGTGAGTTCCGCTCCGGTGCAACCGGCATGCCCTCTTGGAACTCAAGCTCCTGGTAAGTGGCTCTTCTGGGTATAGACTGCAAACAGTTGCTCCTTTTTCTCTCCAGATATCGATGCGCCACTCGCAAATTTGCGGGAGGCGTGAACCTCAAGCGCGGTCCTCTACCGAGTCTTACTCGAAGTTTTCTCGCTCGCTTCAGATTTCTCCAGCACACTGCGTTTTGCCCACCAAAACAGGGCCTGGAATCTAGTTGTAACAAGTCGCAAAAATGGCCAAAGTTTTAACCAATAATTTGTCTCGGGGCCAGTATACATCCAGTTTCCTGAAATACGGCTAAAGGCTTAACAATCAGTTTTGCTATAAGGATTTGTTTTGGTTAAACCTGAGTAAAAACCTCAAACGAACTAGATATGTGACTGTAAGGCAAAGTTCACACTAGCATCCATCCATATGTTGCAAGTGTGAACTATGCCTTACAGTTTCTTCATAGCAACATAACAGCATGAACATAACGACATAAGGAAGAAAAACTACTTTAATTTTTTCCTATGTCTTTATGTCGAGGTTCACATCACCGACATAATGTAGTTACATCAATAGTGTAAACTAAGCCTTACATTACAATAGCATGCATGCATGTAACTATACCATACTAGCAGTGTATGTTCTCACTGTTCACTTCTTTTCTTAAGTGTTTCGCAGCTGTNGAACTAGATATGTGACTGTAAGGCAAAGTTCACACTAGCATCCCATCCATATGTTGCAAGTGTGAACTACGCCTTACAGTCTCTTCATAGCAACATAACAGCATGAACATAACGCGTACGACATAAGGAAGAAAAACTACTTTAATTTTTTCCTATGTCTTTATGACGAGGTTCACATTACCGACATAATGTAGTTACGTCAATAGTGTGAACTAAGCCTTACATTACAATTGCATGCATGTATGTAACTATACCATACTAGCAGTGTATGTTCTCACTGTTCACTTCTTTTCTTAAGTGTTTCGCAGCTGTAAAGAGCTCTTTGAAGCTGGCTACAAATTGAGCGGTATTTACCGCGTTGATCCGCTGGCTGACGGCAAAGGCGGATTTGGAGTTTACTGCGACCATGGGAATGGAGGAGGCTGGACAGTGCTTCTTCGCCGATATGATGGTACCTTGAGCTTTGATCGGGGTTGGAATGCATATGTGGACGGACTAGGGGATCTGACAGGTGAATTCTGGGTAGGTTTGGCCAATATGCGCAGGCTCACCGGTGGTGCGACCTTTACCATAAGATTCGATCTTGAGTCCCCGGATGGCGAGAAGAGGTACGCAGAGTATAATGGCAGTACATTGGGAACATCGAAGACAAAATTCAGGATAACGGTTGGAAG